AAAGTTGCGCACACAGCCACAGCTTTATTAAACAGATATGACAAAGGGGGAAATATGCAAACAAGCATGCAACTAGACAGACCTCCAAAACACTAACATCTGCTGAAGAGGAGGAAAAAAGCGAAGGAAGGAAGAAATTCAGCTCTGATGTTTTCTTCGTTTCTTAAATGCTTATCAGATAAAATGACTACCAGACGCAGAGTGGATGCACAAACAAAGCCTGTATTACAGGCCCCATGTGTAAGCCATTTCCCCCTCTGTGTGTCCAAGTGTGTGTGTGTGTGTGTAGTCACAGCTGCCCACCTGCAGATGTTCATAGTATGTGAGGTGAAAATATTCACAAAGCGGTACAAGTTAACGCAAATATGAATAACAGAAAAAAACTAGTTGATTACGTTAAGTTACCTAAGTAAACCAGACCCTTAGCCAGGGAGGGTTCAGGTGATTCGAAAGACCCACCCCGCTGCACTCTCAGAAATAAAGGTACGCAAGCCGTCACTGTGGTGGTACCTTTTCAAAAGGTAAACATTTGTACTTAAAGGGTTCATATTGGTACCTCAGAAGTATATATTAGTACCTAAAACTTTTAAGAGGAACACTTTTGTACTTTTTAAGTACTAATATGTACCCTTGAGGTATCAATATGGACCTTTAAGGTACAAATTTGTACTTTTTAAAAAGGTACCACCCCAGTGACAGCTTGCATACCTTTATTTCTGAGTGTACTGACAAAGGTCCAGTATTTGTCCCATACATTAGCTCATTTGTTCTATTTTGAGTGTTATGCCATCATAATTTATCATAATAACCCATTGAAAAAGGCTTTAAGACCTGCTAGTGAAGTCAACTTTTACTGTATTGTTGTAGAGAAAACATTTTACCAGTAACTTTTATTCTAAGTCTTGGACCTTATTCTTAAAAGACAAAATGACCAATAAAATGTTGTAAAGCACCAAAGGCAGCCCATATTAATGTTACCTATAATACTTAATAAGCTATTGTTGTTATCTAAATATTTAAATGTACTTTTTAAAAGAGAGACTAGAAAAATGGCGAAGCTCTACATTATTATCATTATTATTCAATTTTTATTATTCAAATGCCAAAATTCTGACTGAAGAAAGTTTTTAGGCCAGTTTGTTATTTGCCTAATAAATGACAATAGGCCACAGTTTTTAATTTAATACTTTTTTTTAGCCCCTCGTGAAATGTGATGTAATGAATTTGTATTTTAAATATAAGTAGCCTATTTTTCATGTTTTTATTCTAAATCTTCAGAAAATATTTAAAAAGTGACCATCTGCCAAACTAATCTAGCAATCCTGCTTAAAATGTCACTAAAACGCAGTATTTAAACCTCTCGATTAAATAAAAAATCGGTCTAAAAACTGCAAAAAGTCGTGGCGACCCCGGATTACAGTTTTTCTCAGTGGCTTTGATGCATTTCTCACTACACTATTTACATTTGCACAACAGTTAATGCATTTCTCAAAACAATTAGTCATTTGTGCACATCATAGTAGCAGTTTCTCATTCCTTCTAACAAATTGCAAATGCTTTTGGACATGCATCAATTGCTTTGATGTGACTGAGAAAAACTGCCGAAAAGAGAATGAATGAATGAATGAATGAATGAATGAATGAATGAATGAATGAATGAATAAACTGCAAAAAGTCCACTTTTTTGAGGAAAAAGAACCACCCCCTTCACCAGGCTGACTGTGGTCATGTTAACTATTATCTTTGACTTTGAGTGCTGATTTAAATGGTGTTTGCCTGAATATACTATAACCCAAATTAGCCTTTATTTTTACTAATTAAATTACCTCACATAATGTCACTCATAAAGTCTTTCCAATGTTTATTTACACTGAGTTCACTCCGAAGCAACACTTCAGTTTTCTACAAGCATGACTATGAATACGAATCCTACAGTGACACCTACTGATAGGAGTTACAAAACACTTTATTTTATTTAGTATGTGTTGAAGATACACAGACAATTTACAGTCATCGGTGTTGAAGGGGCACTGTTAGCCTCACAGCAAGCACTAGCTCCTCACAGTTGGCATTTCTGTGTGGAGTTCGCATGTTCTCCCCGTGTTGGCGTGGGTTTCCCCCGGGTGCCCTGGTTTCTCCCACAGTCCAACGACATGAATTAATTAACTAAATTGGCCGTAGTGTGTGTGTGTGTGTGTGTGTGTCTGTGTGTGTGTGCGCGTGTGTGTGTATGGGTGTTTCCCAGTCCTGGGTTACAGCTGGAAGGGCATCTGCTGTGAAATACATATGCTGGATACCCTGCTCAAAAAATCTGCATAGACCAGCATGGGAATCATGCTGGTCAATGCTGGTTTGGCTGGTCTACTTGCTCGGTCTTGCTTGTGATGCTGGTAGACCAGCTTGTCTTGTTAAGATTAATTCAATTGTTTGTTTCTGTTAAAATTACTGAAATAAAAAAATAAACTGAAATTAAGCTAGCATTGTCAAGAAGTGCTTTAAAAGAAGTATATTAATATATTGTCAAGTTTTTGGCCTGCAATAAAACATACACCATATAAAACTTTGAAATGATCATGCTTCATCTGCATTGATACAAGTGCGAGATGAATCCAGTACAATATTGTGTGGGTTGTTTAATCAAATAAAATTGCAGTAACATTAGAAAGCCTTTTGTTCAGTTGTAGTTTCAATCTCAGTTACAACCCTTAAAAAGTTGATTAACAGTTACATTACTTACCTAAATAAACTATTATCTTTGAGTAGATTTCACCCAAATAAGCCTTTACTCATTAAATGACCTCAGTCACAAACGTTCACTGCAGTTTTCTATAAGTATGACTATGAATATGAATCCTACAGTGCCACCTAATGGTAGGAGTAACAGAACACCATTTCATTTGGGATGTGCTGAAAGTTTATTTAATAAATGGTAGATGACATGATATTTTAAGCAGTGCTGCTAGCAGTAAAACACTGAAATATGTACACACACGTGTAACTTGCATCTTAATGTATTAGTGAGCCTTAAATTGCCAAAGCATAACCTTTTTACAGTAAGCTTGGATAAATATTCAATTCTATTCAATTTATGTTTAATTCTGTAGCATTTTTACAATGTAGATTGTGTCAAAGCAGTTTAACATATAAGTTCTAGTAAATTGAAAATGTGTCCGTCCAATGATACTAAAATAATCAAATGGAATAAACAAATTGATCATTAAATCTGTATGTGTAAAATATTTAATGCCAGTTATTATAACATAAATTACACAGTAAAGAAAGAATAGTGAAATAATCAACATATTTAGCAATAGAGTCTACTAAATATTTTCTGTTTAAAATGCAGTTATTATATATTACAGTTTTTCTCAGTCGCTTTGATGCATTTCTCACTAAACAATTTACATTTGCACAACAGTTAATGCATTTCTCAAAACAATTAGATATTTGTGCACATCCTAGTAGCAGTTTCTCATTCTTTTCAACAAATTGTGAATGCTTTTGGACATGCATCAATTGCTTTCATACAAATCTCTGCTGTTTAGAACATTATCATCTGCTTATGTCATGTCAGTCAAAATGAACTAAACATAAATGCTGAATAGTCATTCCATATACAACTAACAGTCCTCATTTCATTACTTGACTCATTACATACAAAAATGTAATTTTTTTTGTAATTTGAACTAGTTGTCAAAATCTGTCCAGCTAATTTTTTTAACAAATTTAAATCTTTATTTTCCTAAAAAAAATGTCTTTAAAATTGAACAATTTCATGAATGATTTACAGACCTGTATGTTGTAGGCTCAGTTCCAATATGTACTGCAATATAGTTTACAGTTGTGCACAGCTCTACCTAAAGGGAGTTTATGTTTGTTGTAAATAAGGGTGTATTTATTTTTTTGCACAATGCTGTGAATAAATTAGAATTGCAAAGAGAAAATGCAGTAAAAATGTGAAACAAACATATTCAGTGTCTTGTACTTAGATACCTCACTAAATGCAGTGATGTATCATTTTCAGGAAGTGTCACCAAAATCTGACTTTTTTTTTTGTATTGAAAAGAGAGTAAACTGTCATAATGAAAACATGACTGAGCCATTTGACTATCTTGTTCATAATCAATGGTGTCAGGACTTTTCATTTTGATGATACTGACACTTTGATTGACATGAATACTTGCTTTTGAGGAATGAACTATCCATTTTGAGCAAGTGACGCGCTTTTGCAGGTTATCAGCTAGGTTTTGCAGTTTGTACTAATTGTTTTGAGAAAATCATTAAATGTTGTGCAAAAATGCACTAGTGTTGTGAGAAACGCACCAAAGCGACTGAGAAAAACTGTAAATAACATTTATTTCACAGTTCCCCCCTTTGTGACATAATAATGAAAAAAAGACAATTACAATATAAAAACAGCAATAAATCAAATAAAGTTTGTAATACATATACATTTATGTATAATTATTTATATATTGTTTTATATTTTATGTATTTTATTTATTTTATTTATTTATTATTATATATTTTATTCAAAAAGATTTTTTCCTGCCAAATAAAATTAGTGTGCAGTTTACACAGTTTTCCCCTCTTTTGTGTGATGATACACAGTAATGAAACAAGAATTTATAAAAAGATAAAAGCTTAAAGTAAATCTTTAAAATTTAAAGATTACTTTTCATACAGAGTCATGCGCAGTATGATATGCAGTAAAATGCACAGATTCGAACTAATCGATAACCCTCTTTATAGATAATAGACAACCCTCTTTCTAATGCAAAAAACATTCAGAATTAATTTAATTTGAATTTATACAGTGTAATTTCTCATCCTTTCTGTGACAAGAAGAAAAATATTGTTTTTTCAATGATGGCGATGCATAGGGTCTCTAGGAATCTGGAATCTGGAGTTCGCTCAATCTACCCTTTTGTAGTCCAACAAACATCACCCGAAACTACAGATCGTCGCGTGAAGGGATTATGACGGAGATGTTTACGCAACTAAATTTGAAAGAAACATGGCGGCCCCCATCAGGGCATTTGTCCTTAGAGTTCTCTCCGATTCCACTAGAAATGTTCATCATGTTTCACGGTGTCGAAGCAAATATTTATGTCGTCGTGCTGCAATCACAGCATGTCGTGGATATAGCGACAGCACGGAGGGCAGAAGTACGCACTTTGGTTTCCAAACAGTCCCAGAAGAAGAGAAAGCAGAGAAAGGTGAGTTGCAAACACTATTATCTTTAGCTGCATAAAAGCATGTGCTTCACAAAATGTATAATACAAGCTATAAATATGATTTCAATGTCTGCGTTTCTTCAATGGTCGTTACATTTCTGTTTCTCTCGTTATTTTTTACTGTCAGTGTCAGTGACGTACATGACGTACATTACTTTGTGCTTTTTTACGTTTTAAACATCAAACATGGACAAATTATCCCAACAAAATCTGTACAGAAAAATAATATTAGCAACAGTAATGATGACAATACCCTACCATAACATAAATTAAATAAATAAACAATTAAAAAATGAAAGAAAATATAAACAACTAAAACTTTAGCAAAATAATTACCGTAAAATTTAAAAAGTATATTTTTTGTTTTAAATAATCTAATAGATTTAATAAATGCAACAATTTCAATTTAGAAATGTGGAAAAGAAAGCTTTTTATGTGAACAAAACAATTTCCTAAACAAAAATATAACGGGTTAATAATGTTTTTCTCTGATATCAGTGTATAAGGTCTTTGAAAGTGTGGCCAAGAAGTATGACGTGATGAATGACGCCATGAGTTTGGGGATCCACAGGCTGTGGAAAGACACACTTCTACACATCATGAACCCTCAGCCGGGATTGCGGCTGCTTGACACGGCTGGTGGCACAGGTACCTCCCGACTGACTATCACTGTAGTTCATTACTCCTTTTTCTCAGTGTCATGTGAGCCTCCAAATTCATTTGCTGTTGAAAAAGCATTTCTGATTGTTTTCAATGTTTAAATAAGTGGGATTATCATTTTTGTGATATTTACTACAATTCAGAGGTTTGAAGTAAATAAAGTCTTGATAGTTCACTCAAAAATGAAAATCTACTCACCATTTACTCAACCTCAAGATGTTCTAACACTTTATTGGTTTTATTGTTCTTCTGTTGAACACAAAAGAAAGTATTTTTAAGAAAGTTAAAAATAAGTAAGCATTGACTTCCATAGTGAGAAAAACAAATATTAGGGAAATCAAAGGTTACAGGTTATCATTGTTCTTCAAAATATCTTCTTTATATAGGAGAAATAAACTCACTTGTTTGAAACAAGGGTGAGTAAATTAACAAATTTTCCCTTTTTTTTGGGTGAACTATCTCTTAAATTTACTTTTCTATTATTTCTGTTTGTTTGTATCCACCACAGAATCTTGAGAAAATATTAAATCAGTTTCCCCAAATATTAAGCAAAAAAATGTGTTATCGTCATGATTGTTGATAACCATTATTAATAATTGAGCACCGATTCCCCAATGGCTGAAGTATTAGACAAAGGAATAATTTACACGTTTAAAAATGTAAAAAAAAAAAAAAAAAAAAAAAATATATATATATATATATATATATATATATATATATATATATATATATATATATATATATATATATATATATCACAGTAATTCATTTAATTTTTTAAATAAATTACACACTTGATAAATGAAATGCTATATCAATTATTTAAAACATTTCTCCACCAGTAGCTACATTTAGGATTGGGTTCCCTCACTACCTGACAAACGTCTATCCAAGTTTTAGGAACAACAAGTAATAACTTGACCTCTAATTGATCCTGTGGTATCAAAAGTGGCTTATATGAAAGGCAAAGGCCTCTAGATTTCACCTATTTTACCAAAATTAAATATGATCAGGCCTTGATTTAATTATTTAATTAGGGCAGTAATGTCTGACTTTGATTAGACAAAAGTCTTGTCACTTAACAGAAATAATGTACAGTATAGAATATAAAGTCATGGTGCAGTGGAAAAGAATTAATATTGCGTATGACTCTCATGAACTTGAAGGACTGCATCCATACATCTCTGCAATGACTCAAATAACTTGTTAATAAAGTCATCTGGAATTGCAAAGAAAGCGTTCTTGCAGGACTTCCTGAATCTTTGGATTCATCTTCAATGGCTCCTCCTTCATCTTACCCTAGACATGCTCAATAATGTTCATGTCTGGTGACTGGGCTGGCCAATCTCGGAGCACCTTGACCTTCTTTGCTTGCAGGAACTTTGATGTTGAGAATGAAGTATGAGAAGGAGTGCTGTCCTGCTGAAGAATTTGCCCTCTCCTGTGATTTGTAATGTAATGGGCAACACAAATGTCTTAATATCTCAAGCTGTTGATGTTGCCATCTACCCTGCAGCTTTCTCCCATACTAAATGTTACCCCAAATCATGATTTTTCCTTCACCAAACTTGACTGATTTCTGTGAGAATCTTGGGTCCATGCAGGTTCCAATAGGTCTTCTGCAGTATTTGTAATGATTGGGATGCATTCAACTGATTCATTGGAAAAAAGTACATTCTGCCACTTTTACAAATGATTAACTAGAAGTCGAGTTATTATTTGTTGCTTTTACAATTGATTAATGATTAATGACAAGACTTTTGTCAGATAGTGTAAGGATGTTAATAGTTTCATATAGGTCCATAAACTAAAAGATTGGAAAACACAAAGCCCAGAAACCTCTGTCCTAGAAGTCCAGATGAAATCAGCTCTGTGCAGGTTTTTTTAAAAAATACTTGAATTTCAGACAGACATTTAAATTCAAGGCCTGGAAATTACTTAAAAACAATCAGGTTTTTGAAAGTGCTTAAGTTAAATTAGTCTATGGTGTTATTTCAACAATCGCACAGTACGGCTACTAAAAACAGAATGAAAAAAAATCTTACAATGAACTTTTGGAAAAGAACTGACAAATGATGCACATTTTATCAATATTTCAAAAACGCTTTTGAACATCACCAGCAATGAATTCAACCTTTTTTGTTAAAGCTCTTTTTTTTGTTTTGAAAATGACACATTCAAAGCATCATCATCAATCTGACATTTTAATGTAAATATTAAGTGTAAGTGAAATGTTAAGTACAGTAAGAACATTCATCCCGCTACATATACTGGTGGTGTGACTAACAGGTGCTTGATTTGTAATTAATGGTGCTTTAAAAAGTCCTTGAATCTGCTATTTATGAAAGCGTGTCTGTGTTATCCTGTTGTAGGTGACATCTCCTTTCGCTTTCTGGAGTACACACGCTCGATGTACGATCGCCAGCAGCGGCTCAGAGCAAAATCCCAGCAGACTCCGTCATGGAAAGACATCGCGGGTCACTACGTGTCTGACGAAGAAGGTCCTCCACAGTCGCGGGCAGTGGTGTGTGACATCAACAAAGAGATGCTCAAAGTTGGAAAACAAAGAGCAGAGGACGCAGGAATCACTACAGGTATACTCATCTTTAAAAAGTTCATCTAAAAAATAGTTATTTTATTATTTACTCACCCACAATTAAATCCAAAATTGTATGCGTTTTTTTAGTAATATTTATTACCCACAATTTACTGTGAAATCACATGCATGTACACTCGTTAAAGTTGCATTTCCCAAAATCTAACGTAAGGTGGCAAATAAGCTAAAGGAAAAGAAATGCAGCTGGCATGAAACCATATGATGACATGTAATGGAAAACTACAGTGGGATAAATAAGTATTGAACATGTCACCATTTTTCTCAGAAAACATATTTCTAAAGGTGCTGTTGACTTAACTTGACATTTTCACCAGATGTTGGTGAAAACCAAAGACATTTATATATGCAAGGAAAACAAAACTAATTTGTTTCTGTATGTGTAATAAAATAAAAAAATAACACATGAAGAAAGGGAGAAGTAGAAAGGCAGTGAAAGCCCAGATAGCAGCTGAAATCTCTGAGTTGTTCTTCAGTGACCATCTGCCCTTCATCATTGTAAATGAATAATAGCTGCTTCAGTCGAACATCATCAGGATGATGAAGATGACACCAGGGTGGACATTTCAGCAGGACAATGGTCCAAAACACAGCCAATGAAACTCTCAAATGCTTTCAGAGAAAGAAAAGCAAACTGTAGAATGGCCCAGCCAATAACCTGACTTGAATCCAATATAGAATCCAAATTAAAGATCAGATTTGATAGATGAGACCCACAGAACCATCAAGATTTTTACACTCCGTGAATTAACTCGCGCCTGAGCAATGCATGTCACTTTATTCTTCATATGAGAGGCGTCTTTAAGCTGCCAACACCAAAAATACTTTTATATATTATTAAATACATTTCAGTATTTCAGTAGTCGTTGACCAGCAGTATTATTTACATTTTTTTAAAATAAAGTAGTACTTTATTATATATTTAATTAATATTTATATTTATAGTATATTATAATATAAAGTAGTACTTAATATATTTCAAAAGCAAATAACAAGCAGGTGTTTTGTTGTCTTTGTTATCAAATAATACAATAAATGTGATGAAAGAGCAGGGGTGTTTAATTCGTAAAGCCAAACTATCATGACAACTGTCCAAATTTGCTCATTCATTTACTTTTCTGATATAGTCCACTCAACTTTCATACACTATAGAGATCAGTAAATAAGTGAACAAGTTTCAGACTCAGCTATTGTCTTTAATGTTCAACAACAACAAAAATGAATGACGTAAATAATTGAAACCACCTGAGGGCGAGTGAATTCCTGTTTTTAAGTGTAAATGTTGATTTCTCCATTTGCAGGACTTTCGTGGGTTGCGGGGGATGCCGAAGAGCTGCCGTTCGACGACGATCAGTTTGACATGTACACGATTGCGTTCGGCATCAGAAACGTCACCCACATCGAGCAAGTGAGGACTGCAACAGTTTACTCAACACAAAACAACAAACAGATTATTCTCTAATACCATTGATGTCTGAGATTATCAAGCATGTTCTTCAGTCATTACTGACAGCGGGATTTAATTCATTCCATGTAATGAAATTCATATTACAGACGTGGAGAAAATTTTTGGTACACTTTCATCTTGCTTACAGCAGTTTCATTAGTTTGCCTCTTTTAAAACTTCTGTTGAACCACAATTCATACACTGTAAAACCCAACAGTCAACTTTATCACATGAAATGAGTGTAGTTAACTGGAGCTTGACTGAAAGTAAATTCTACTCGTGAAAAGAGTTTTGAACTCGGTGTTCAAGTTAATGAGTTAATTAAATACCTCATTACTTCAACTTAAATGGAGTAAGTTCACAGTACTCATATAGATTAGTTTTTGAAGTTAAATGGTTTGAGTTACCTTAACTTTTTGGGTTTTACAGTGCATTAACATTTTTATAAGTTTGTTTTCAGTTGTTTTTAATAATCAGCACTTTTTTCACTTTTAAGTTGTGTCAGTGAGTCAAAAGTATGGAGTTCGGTATTAATCTGTACTGAAATTTTAAAAACGTCTATTTACCATTAACATTTAAACGGGTTTATAAATTGAAATATGATTAAGATTGGCCATGAAGTCATCAGTTCATCGTTCTTCACCGCTGTTCACTGAATACAAACACAGATATATACAGACACTGCTCAAATGTTAGCGGGAAACCAAACTCAATACTTTTGACACCCCTAGACCACTGTAGTTTTTCTTTCTTCAGTGGAAGGGTACCAATAATTTTGTCCATGTCTGTACATACCTAAAGTATCTTTTCTAAAAAAATATATATATATATATGTATAAAAGTGTGCATTTCATGTTGAGTGAACTATTATTTATTTCTATAAAGAAAAGTATTTGTGACCTTTCAAATTCAATTCTTGGAGGGCCGCAGCTCTGCTGTTTTGCTTTAATCCTAATCAACCACAGCTGATCCAACAAATTAAGGTGTTAAAGACTACAAGAGACTATTAAGCAGGTGTGAGTTGGAGGTGGTTGAAGCTAAACTGTGCAGAGTTGCAGCCCTCCAGGAATTGAGTTTGAGACCATTGCCTTAGACTATTAAGCCATTTTTATTAACACATGTTTTGTTATAATAGAATAATATTTGGTCAAGATGCAACTATCAGACTGAAATTTGATGGGAAAAAAAATCATCTTGTGGAAAAATCATCTTTAAAGTTGTGTCGAGCTAATGCCAAACATACACCCACATAAGGTTTTGTGGTCCAAGGTCACATTTGAATTCTGTCACTATTGGCTGGGTGTTCGTTTTGTCTGAGGTGACGTTGTCTCTATTTGCAGGCTTTACAAGAGGCTTTTCGGGTCCTTAAGCCAGGCGGACGTTTTATGTGTCTAGAATTCAGCAAAGTCACCAATCCTCTTCTCGCAAGGTCAATAAAGTTCTTTTAGCATCATTGAGGGTGCTTTCACACTAGCACTTTTGGTCCGCAGCCGGGTTTATTTGACGTCATAGTACGGTACGTTTAGCTAGTGTGAACGTGTCTTCTGAACTCGGGTGCGCACCCGTGAACCGAGTATGCATGAAAGGGGTGGTCTGGGGCACGGTTCATGAAAACTCTAGTTCAGTTCACTTCTGTTGTGAATGCAATCGTATCAAATAACAGAAGTGAACTGCCAACTGTACAACAAACTATTGTTTTCATAACGTTCATTCGTGTGTGTGTGTGTGCGTGCGTGCGTCTGTGTCTCTGTCTGTCTGTCTGTCTGTCACATTTCGTACTGTGGTGACATGCGCGGGACTGAGCCAGGGCAAACACGGTGATGCACAGTGATGTTTGCTTGTCTCCTCCAAAAACAGCTTCTGCAGACACTGTGTGATCTTCTGAATGTTTATAATATTTCCACGGCAGATGGACGTGAGTCGCTTTCTGTATGTCCAAAACCAAAAGCTTCATTTAAAGCAGAATGACCATGATGTGCGAACATCTTTCCATTTCGGCACTCGCTTTCGTGACCGTCACCTAGCAACGGCCGTAAACAAAACAGCAGCTCGATGACACAACCATACAGAGGTTCAGAAGGAAAAAAGACAGTATGAACACAAACCAACCGAGGACGTGGCAAGCGAAGATGATCGAACTTGGGTACGGTCCAGGCAAATGACCCAAGTGTGAAAGCACCCTAATGATAATTTTTAATTACATAATGTTGGATGGTTTTATTTTTATTTTTGTGTGTACACATCTGTGTTTATTGTTTATTATTATTTCAAGTTGAGAATTGATTTAATAAGTTTTTTTGAGTAAAATTTTAAATAATTTACTCTACTGCTCTACTGTGATTAAGTAAAGACATCCACTAAAACATCGTTTAATCCCTTCAAAGATCACATTGCAGCCCCAAAATATTTGTAATTTTTATAATATTTGTTTTCGCACTATCCTTCAGGTTTTACACACTCATCTGCGAGACGCTTTAATAATTTAAAATGAAAAGATCTAAAATGTAGTATGATCATTCATTATTTCACGATTCACCTTTCAGAATACGAATGTTGTGTCATTTTTAGATAAATATATTATATAAAATACATAAATATATATTATATATATAAAATAATATGAAATAAATTATTAAGACAGCTCATTTTCACATGTATTGAAAGGTTTAGGCAGATATTTGACTTGCATGGGTAATTAAACTGTATGTTGACATAAAAATATAGTTTTTAGATGATGAAAGTTTTTTTTTTATTGTCTTAGGTTATCTTATTTATGTTGTAATAACTGTATTGAACATGATTTTTTCCTCCTTTTATGTATTTTGGCAGACTTTATGATGCATACAGTTTTCAGATGATCCCTGTATTGGGTGAAGTAATCGCTGGAGACTGGAAATCATATCAGTATTTGGTGGAAAGTATCCGAAAGTTCCCAGACCAGGTAACAACACACTCCATTTTAAAGATTCAGCTGTTTTATAGTCATGAAAGACAAGCTGCAGTAAGTGCATTTCATAGAAATACATCAGTTTGTCTAAGATTAGTTCAGAGCCTTTAAAGAGGTTTCATCAACTGCTAGCACTTTTTTGTGTGTAGTTGTTATGTGTCAGATGTATCACTGAACTACAAAACCAGCCATAAATGTCAATTTCTGGGATTTGAATCTGTAATTCCAATACAAAAGCTTTCCAGTGATGTATACTTTGTCAGAATAGGATCATGTTTGGCAGAGGTACAGCTATTTAAAAATCTGGAGGGTTAAAAAAAACTGGAAAAAAAAAAAGACTTTTAAAATTGTTAGGATTATTACATTACATATACATTAGGATCTTAGCAGGCGAGGCAGTGGCGCAGTAGGTAGTGCTGTCGCCTTACAGCAAGAAGGTCGCTGGTTCGAACCTCGGCTCAGTTTGCATGTTCTCCCTGCCTTTGCGTGGGTTTCCTCTGGGTGCTCCGGTTTCCCCCACAGTCCAAAGACATGCGGTACAGGTGAATTGGGTAGGCTAAATTGTCCGTAGTGTGAGTGTGTGTGAATGTTTCCCAGAAATGGGTTGCGGCTGGAACGGCATCCGCTGCGTAAAAACTTGCGGGATAAGTTGGCGGTTCATTCCGCTGTGGCGACCCCAGATTAATAAAGAGACTAAGCTGACAAGAAAATGAATGAATGAAGATCTTAGCAGTGCATTAACGAATAAAAAATGTGTTATTATATATTTACAGTAGAAAATGTACAATATAACATCATAGAACATGAGCTTTACTTAACAGTTTAATGATTTTTGGCATAAAAGAAAAATGATCATTTTGATCCATTTAATGTTCTTTTGCCGATACGGTTTTGTGTTCCAGGGTCACACATGACAGTCATGCTGAAATTTTGTCAGTCTTTCTTAAATATTTTAATGAAAAAATAAACTTAAAATCTCCCACACAATATGTATTTTTGCTTTGTCCAAAAAAATACATGTGAGACTTATAACTGGTTTTGTGGTCCAGGGTCACATAAAAGTCATGCAAAAAGTTGTCTTTCTTTTTTTTTAAGATTTTAAACCTGAAAAATATTTCGACCACTATGTTTTACCCATAATTCACTCTAAAATCGAATGGATGTATGCTCGGGTTATAGCTAGGAGGGATACAGCTATGGCCGGAAGTGAACAATATGCAAAAAATGTCCTTGAACAGTGCTTCCCCACACATAGACTTTACTTGGGCAGGCCTCCCGGGTATATTAACAGCCGCCCAAGTATATTTAGTGACACATTTATTTATTTTTTTTTTACTATTATTAACATCCTTTTACACTATTTTTTATCCGCCAAATATAGCCAAACATCCATGATCGATTAAGTTGTGGAAAATTGTCTCTCGATTACCCGTTTCGTTGTGTGTGTGAACTGTCAACACTCACACAGACAGTCTCGCGTGCTCTGCAGACCCAGAGAGACACTCCTTTTTGGCGCTTAAAAAATTTTGTCTGGCTGGGTTTCTAAAATTCCGAGATTCGGCTTTTGCTTTCTAAGGCAGTCGTTTGTGTTTTTGCATCACCTTTTTACTTGAGCCTACTTTCGCTTGGCTTTGCAGCTGACAGTGCATGCAGTCATGAGAGTGAGAAGCATTTAATAATTCATTCTTGACTCTAAACGACTCAGAAAAACTTCACTATTAACGGGAGGAGGACGAAATGACTGGTCTAAACTGGCTATAAAATATACAGTTGAAGTCAGAATTATTAGCACCCCTGAATTTTATGCCCCTTGTTTATTTTTTTTCCTCAATTTCTTTTTAAAGGTGGGAAGATTTTTTTAACACATTTCTAAACATAATAGTTTTAACTCATTTCTAATAACTGGTTTATTTTATCTTTGCCATTATGACAATAAATAATATTTGACTAGATATTTTTCAAGACACTTCTATACAGCTTAAAGTGACATTTAAAGGCTTAACTAGGTTAATTAGGTTAACTAGGCAGGTTAGGGTAATCAGGCAAGTTGTTGTCTGACAATAGTTTGTTCTGTAGACTATCGAAAACAAAATTAGCTTAAAGGGGCTAATAATTTTGACCTTTTAGAAATTAAAAACTGCTTTTATTCTAGCCTAAAAAACAAAAAAAAACAAATAAGACTTTCTCCGGAAGAAAAAATATAAGACATACTGTAAAAATTTCCTTGCTTTGTTAAACATCATTTGGAAAATTTTTCAAAAAGAAAATAAAATTCAAAGGGGGGCTAATAATTCTGACTTCTGTATGTACACCATAAGAAATGGTTTATCAACACATTTGCCTTATTTAAATAATCTACACATTTTGAAATTATTATAATTTCTAGAGATATTGTCTGTTTTTATCCCTTTTTACTGTCATTTATTTCTTATTTGCTGTAAATTGTAATAATTTGATGATGCCATTCAAGTTTGCTTTGAACTTGAGAGAGAGAGAGAAGCAGATTTTTTTTCCTGTCAGTTGGTGCATTTGGCTCCTGAATAGCATGAGAAGTGAATTTCTTTTTTATTTCAACCGTCTTTTTTTTTTTTTTTTTTAATTTTTTTACTTCAACCCATTGAAAAGAAACTGTGTATAACAGGGTTATGAATATTGTTAAAAAATTAAATGTTTTGTCACATATAGGTAACTACTTATGTGATTTGGGTATATGGTGTGTTTAATCTGGCTACCACTGCAAGTATATCTCAAACCTATGGGAAGCATTGCCTTGTAGTATCAACAACATTTAAAAAAAAAAAGGGAATAACCATTCCTGTATCTGTGTTTCTACAGGAAACATTCAAGGAAATGATTGAAGATGCTGGTTTCTTCCGCGTCCAGTACTTCAACCTGACTGGAGGAATTGTTGCCATTCATTCAGGATTCAAGCTCTGAGTGTCAGAGTGAACCAAAGCTGTTTGAACACATTCGAGTATTACCATCTCTCTAAATGAACTCTGACAAGAAAGAGTGCTGTTGTATAAACAATGACTGGAGGACATTAAAACGAGAACCGGGGGTTTCAGGAAACTCAGCATGGAAAGTGCTTTGTTCGTGTATTTGTTCTGTCGGTACATGAAAACACATTTCAAGTGAAAATGGAAGCGATTAAAAGGTTGTGGGTTTGATTAAGATGTTGAAAGTGGCTTTGTTTTTAAAGGCTGTTGAAATATGAATCTCAGTTTTATTAGCGTTTGATTTTCGGTCATGCTGACCTAATAAAATAAAGGTTAGATGAGTTTCATCCCATTCCAAAGTGGAAGATTGGAAATGAAAACTCTCGCAACAATGAATTTGCCCATCATGCATCACATTTTTAACAAAAGTTGATCCACACTCGGTTCATAACATGAAAACCATCCCTGTGATGAAAAGGAAACAGTCAAATGTGTGTTTTTACTTTAATAAAACCATATATTTTTTAAGATCTTTGTACACTTTGTTACAAAACTGTACTAAAATTTTTTAAATCAGTTTTTGGTCAGAGAATATTTAATCGTCTTGTGTGCAATTACCACATATTTACAAAGTCTCTTATTAGTGATCTCAAAAAAAGAAAAGAAAAAAACGTCACAGACACTCTGAACATAAGACATGGCTTAAAGATAAATATATTAGTCAATAAATATTCAGAGAACATATTTCCATTTATGAAATGTGCTGCTATACAGATACAGAAATATACACAGATCAAGCTCTAACCTTTAACATTTGTAAAATGATAATGGAGAAAATAATTATAAAATTTAAAATATTAATTTTTGTACACATCTTGTTTTATACAATCTTAAGTGCTACAAAAACAATACGAAATATTAAATAGTGACTCAAGTACCCAGAAAAAAATGCTATATTTGCAGTACATATCGCTATGCAAGGCAAGAGTAGATTCTCATATTACGGCACTGTTTTAGTCTATGTATAAATAGTTATCTTAAAATGACCGCCTGTATAAGCTGTATGGGTACATTTCATAGAAACAGTATAAAATACTCCGTAAAAACAGAAAGGCATGATGATATGATGGCGTATGTGTAAAAGCACGAGTGCAACGTGTAGTTATTAAAGGTAATCATGCGGTTATTGATACATATAAATATATATATCACTGCATTCCAAATCTCTTTAAACCATTATACTTTGGCGTCTTTTCGACAAACTGTTAGCTTTTATATTTATATATATTTTTTTAAAAGAGCAACTTATTAGGGGTCAAATACTAGAAGTCCTAACTCTAGAGTTGTCAGGTTCTAATTCTACCAGTGGTGTTTTGACGGTACCCAGGAGACAAACTAAACTTTGGTGGGATTTACATGTAGCTCAGTAGTCTCCATTGATAAGTGTTTAAAAAACAAAAACAAAAGAAGCTTTTAATTATTGGTCTGTACTAAACAGATAAAGGCCCTGAGAGAGGAAGAGAAGAGGGAGGTGTACATTGTACATATTCAAGGCCGAGTTGCACCTAGTTAAGTGAAAAACGAGCTCAGCACCCGATGTGGCCTCCCCCTTCACGTGAAGTGTTCCGTTTTGGTTTTTATTTCTCTAAACGAAATAATTCAATCGAGATGTAAGTACATGCTGTATGACTTCTTACTACTCATGCATGCAATTGTGAATAAAATTTGTGTAAAAAAAAAAAAAAAAAAGAGCATTTCAATCATCTTCGCTAATAACGTAGAACTCAGGCGTAATCTAAATTGTCAATAAAAAAGGTAGCCATGTACATTTACAGACGCGTTCCCTGGTCCTAGTCCAATCAAGAAAGAGGCATGCATGTAATGATGCTCTGTGAGACTCACATTTGCATGAGGAAGTATGTGAAAATCAAATATAGCTATTATCTTTCGCCTTCTAGAACTTCTATATCCGTTGTGTTGATGTGACTGATTCTGAAGGCCACAGGAATGAACAATATCAACACTGACAAACAAACCAAAAAAAAAGTACAACTGTTGAATCTTGATTTGAAACACAAACCCTTTCTGATAAGTACACTCCAGAGTTTTGACAACATAGCTATTAAAAAGTTTAGCATTTATTCTTTTTCAAGAGCCTGCACTGTGTTGGGGTTTCTATCAGAGTCCCGATCCATCAAAAGACGATGTGCTGCTCCCTTGTGTTTCAGACACGGCGTTACACTTTGAGGAAAACAGTGCTCTCGCCTCTTCATCTTGAGGCTGCTGATAAACTTGACCTCTACATTGTCCTGAGGTGAAAAACAAGTCACAAGTGTCCTCAGAAGAAGTCCTCTCCTCTCGCTCCGTGGTAAGTCTAGAAGAAAGCAAACTTGTTTGTGGTTCTGGACCCAAGCCTAATTCACAGTCTGTATCCTCAGGAATTATGGGTATTCGCTGTGCTAGCTCACAGCAACCCTGTCCCATGCAGCCATCACTGTCTGTTTGGGCATACTGTATGTTAACCGAACAGTCTTCAGCGTAATGATTAGCACCTCCTCGGTGCACAGTCATCTCTGTGTAGAAGCAGCATGGCAGTCCGTCATAGCTAACATGATCTGGAGATGGCAGCTGCTCTGTGCTAACACTATAAAAGTTCTGTGAGGAAGCCACTGCTTGAGCCTCTGTGGCCCACCTGCAGTGTCCTCTGTCCTCTCCTTCCTTACCTTTACGTTCTAGGTTTAATTTCGGTACCTCGAAACAGCAGTTGCAAGCTACCCCTTGCTCTCCACAAGGCTTCACAGAGTTGTGGCTTCTTTCTGCCACATTGCCCTCAAGGGGCCCAGCTGAGGTAGTGCTAGTAAGTTCCCTGGTTTCCACTGAAGAGTGGTTACTACAGTTGGGCTCCAGGCTACAGTTGGACAATTGGTCCCCAGAACTGTAACAAGCTCCACCTGGAGGTTGCAAGCAGTCTATCATACCTGATACTGGGGCTGAAGTGTCATCTGCTGGAGGGGCAGCTGAAAACACTGCCCCAGCCTCCCCAGCTGACCCCCGACATGGACTCTTACTGCGATACACATAGGGATCGTAATCGCTGCTTAGCGAACTTCGAAACGTAGAGCAGCTCCCGTACACACCCTGGTTGCTGACCTCCGTACAATCCAACATGGAGTCGCTTGATGAACAGTGGCACTGACCCGAGCTACTGCTGCTGTCGCTTCCGGGACAGTCCGCAAGGTAACCGCTACACACAGACCGGTGCCCGTGGTAACAACTAAGTCCAGAGGTGCTTCCAGAGTCACCCAGGCGGGAAGAGGAAGCTGGTGCCATGTGTACCACAGTAGGATACAGAAGTCCTGGCTGGAAGGGTCTATTGTGTCCTTTGTGGAGTCCATTACTAGGCTGACCTTCAGGTTGTGGGAAGGTCAAGCCTTGAAAATAGTAGTGCTGGTACATGGTCTCGTATTGTGAAAAGCAGGCAGCACGAGAAAAGTTGCGTCCGTGGAATTTGGGCCGTTTGAAAGTATGGGTTTGTGGGTAAGCAGGGCCACGGTGCTCCAGGCCACAATGGTGTGGGTTTAGTGTGTGGTCCAAGTGGAGGGCAGGGTAACCCCGTATAAAGGAGGATTGTGAAGGATAGAGGCCTTGCTCTGGATGCTGGTCGACTGTTAGAACAGTGATGGGGTTGCCATGGGGGTCCATGCTGGTCCGTGTAGGGTAGGCTGTCACTTGTCCAGCTCTGTGCACCCTTCCTGGATAGTGAACAGGGAGGACGACTCTCTGCTGACGACCATGAACTGGGTTTCCTGGATCAAGGCAAACGGCACCTGGGTTTCCCTTTTTCTGATCTGGAAAGAAAATAAAAATGCACAGATCAGAAGTGAATTGAATCATGGCCAATGTTTTGGAATCTGCTTTTGAGGCTTACCAATAATGTTGTGCCTGCAGTGTGGACAAGTGTGGTGCTGAAGTAACCATGGGTCCACACATTTCTTGTGGAATCGGTGTGCACAAGGGATGACCCTCAACTCCTGTAGGTGTGGAGAAGGACCGAAGTCAACAAATGTCTTAAGATTTTTGTGGCCCTTGCACCAATTTCAATGGCATTCAGAAGCTTACTGGGATGCAGTATTTGCAGGCACTTAAAAAACCCTGTGACCAATGAATAAGATCTTGGATGTGTCATAGTGCTCCTGCAATTTAGCTCTAAACTTCCCCTAGCCTGCTAGTTTCTAGTCATCTAAAATGTTTGATTGGTTTAAGTGTTAAATAATGGTTAGGACTTTACAAGAAGGCTGCCTTCCTAAACCAGAATACTGCTATAGATGCTAAACTACACATATGAACTTGAACTCTAGATGGCGCCACAATTACACACACAGTGAGTGTTAAAGACTAAAAACAAATTTTGAAGTGCCCATGCAACTTAAAATTAGTCAACAGAAATATTATTGGCCTCCTAAGTTGACTTCCAACATGTACATTTCAGGTATTGTGTCCTATGCAAAAAAAACAACTAGCGTCTCTGCCCCTTTCAAGAATTGAACTCCTGTGCTTAACCTCACAGATTTCACCCACAGAAGTCATTCTGTCCCCAAGCATGACTCACCCTCCCCTCCCGCTGCCTTTCCGCCCTGCTTTTGTTGCTTTTCTTCATCATCACAGACAAACCCTTTGATGCCATTGAGCCCTTTATATTGCCACTTCCTCTGTGCTTCCCAGACGCCTTGATTTCTTTGTTGCGTGCTTTTTTTTAGTATGACACATAACCACAAAGGCGAATAAAAAAATGGCACCAGTGTTAATCTTCACATACTTTGAAACAAAGCAGGCCAAGAAATGATGAAGAACCTCACAGTGGTCCATTACCCCATAATCAAATCAACTAAAATAAATTAACTAGAAAGCATGACTAATTTTCCAGGACTTTTGCAATAGCGTTTTGGCAGATTACTTTAATCTGTTAGCTTATTGTTTGGTTTAGAGTTAATAGAGATCTGACAATGTGAGAAAATCCTGATTGCATGGCTAATTGGCAATGCCTGTTATATTACCGTTATAGTTTTAACAGGAAATCTTTTGAACATTTTTGAAGAGGCTTACCTCACCGTCGATGTACTTCTCAAGGCATATGGCACAGTCTGATGTGGAACTACTGCTTACAGAGTCTGAAGCTCCACAGCTGGCCTCACGCTGACCCTTGAACTTAGCCTTGAACTTGCATGTTTCCATTTTCTCCAGGGCCTGAATGGCCATCCGGTTCATGGAACTCTGAAAGGTGGGGAAACGATTATAGACAGGAGAAGAGATAGACAGAAGAAAACAAGGCATGGCAGGAAGTCATTAAACAAATGTCATCCGACATGAAACCAGACTTCTTTTTACAAAGCAATTCAATTATTGAGCCTCACCTGGCTGCGTCTTTGCTTGAGCTTTATCTTGATGAGGAGGATGAGGCAGACCAAAGACACCACAACGAAGAACGCCAGGAAGATTCCCATATCAAAGTACTCTGTAGGCTGCAATAC